AAATATGCCTGGACACCTTTTCTTCTGGCAGTTCTAGAACTGCCACACAATAGAAAAACTTGGAGAATTTTGTAAAATCTGGGAAATTCAGCTGTATGTCATCAGTGGAGACTTAAAGCTGGTAGGCTTGCCCAAGAGTATGCATGCTGGCCCTGATTTTGGCAAACAAACTGGTAACAACCAGCATCACCACCTACTTTGCCTGCTATATAGGCTGAAATCTGTGTGCTGGATCTAAAGGTACCAGTCACTGTAAGATCTCTCTGAATCACTACTATCAGCAAGACATCACATATTGCAGATAAGAATTAAAACAATTCCGGGATATACAGTAGGACAAAGGGAAATAATTTTCCTTGTCATAAAAGGTGAGACTGCTAATAGCACACAACGTATAGGTCTGTTGTTTAACTTACATGAAAAAGATGTTGAAATCTCAAAACTGAAAGAAGCCACAAAATTATAAATCCCTTCCTCATACCTGAAACCGGACAACTTCCTTCCCAGGTACCTGTGACACCTCTGCTAAGCAAAAAACAGCAGTGCAGAAGGTACAACAGCGCAGCAGCAGTGAATGGTAATGTAAACCAGACAACTTTACCTTCCTTTCCTCTTATAAGGGACAGAAAGTCAGATCACAGAATCATAGAATCAGATGGGTTGGAAAGGACCTCTGAGATCATCAAGCCCAACCCTTGATCCACTACCACCACACTTACTGGACTATGGCACTAAGTGCCACATCCAGTCTCTTCTTAAACACCTCCAGGGACAGAGAATCCACCACCTCCCTGAGCAGCCCATTCCAATGCCTGATCCTTTTCTCCCACCCAATATCTGTCACATCTGGAAGAACATAACTATCTACCCTTGTTTTTAATATTGTTTATATTGTCCAGAAATCTCAGAAGTTACTGAATTCAAGAGTACTAATGGATAGATGGCCAGGCTTCATTTCCTAATAAAATTACAGAAAATTTCCAGGAACTGATTTGATTATAGCATTTCATCACTTTCTCAAGAAGAAAGTACTAAATGTTAGAGCTCTTGAATCTACTAAAGGAAGAGCGATTGGGAAGAAAAAAAAAAACAAAAAACACACAAACCCAAACAAAATAACCAGGAAAAAGAAAAAAAAAACAAACCACCAAAAAAAAAAAATTAGAGTAAAAAGAATCAGAAGCAAAATCCAGCTGCAACATCTTGCAGCGACCATTCCTAAATTATTCAAGAGTTCTGTGCATTTGCTTTCTCAGGATCATTCAGTCTAATGAGATTTAGTGTTCCAAAGAAGGTTCACTGGAAAAATTTACCAAACAGGGTGAACACTTTATGGTCTTAAATGCTTTATAAAAACATAAGGATCTCCATTTTCATCATTCACCTGCTTTTCTGACAATAAAATGCTATATTCAAAAAACAAGCTAAAATATTACAAAATAGTACCTAGGCTGTAGGCCTGGTTAGTGCAGTACATCTGTAATTCTGCTTGCTTAAGATCACAGCCTAGACTCTGGGCATTCTGGACTATGTAATGATAGTCTTCATTTATATAATTATCTACTACTCTCTCTCCTCCATTTTTCCTGCTCTATTTCTGATTTGTTGCTCTTTGTTTTTTTACTGCAGATTAACTAGTAAAAGTGGTATATGCATATAACAGTTTGGTACCCAGCAAAATGAAAAAAAAAAAAAAAAATCTGTTCAAAATGAAAAGTGTAAATAATGCCACCTGAGCAAACAAAGAAAGTTGCGATTTTATTTTTGAAACCAAAACCAAATCAAACTATGAATTTCAATGTTTTAATAAACTACCAGAGCTAAGAATAGTATTTTATAGGGAAATTATAAAACCTCAAGAGCACAAAGTAACTACTCAGTGCCTAGGGTTAGAAGAAACAGAGCACTCGCTTATTAAATTTCACTCATTTTCCACTGTTGCCTTTGATACTCGCATTGAGCTGAAGCAGAAGAGATAAGCAAGTATGCTCAGACAGATGGATCACTGATCTCATGAAGTATGGAAATTCTCATTTTGGGATTCTTGCTCTAAAAAGGTAGGTATTTACTGCAAAGGTAACCAATATCCATTTCCTGGGTACACAGAAGGACAAAGGGAAATCATTTTCCACATCACAAAAGGTGAGACAGGTAATAGCATACAATGTTTTTGAGAAAAAGCATTAAATCCAGTTAGTGTACATAGTTATTCTTTCTTAGTCACAAGAAAACTTCTTATTGTTCTGACTCAAGTCAGCATGAGATTTTGTTCATATTACTCAACCATTTCATTATTGCTAACTTACCTGTTATATAACAAGAATGCCTGTTATATAAACACAGCATTCAAGAGATTACACAACTCAAAAAGCAAACCAGCGCAAGGAGACCACTTAAACGCACAGCAGCCTTAATGATTCCTGATGTAATGAAAAGTAATTGAGGACCAAAAAGACCTCCCTTAGCACGATTCTTTCCATTAAAAAACTGTGGTCATATTGAATCCAGTTTATAGTAACAATCTCTCAAGAAACTGCTTCTAAATGAAATTTTTTCTAAATGAAATGAAGCACTGTTATTCTAATATAAAATTGAAGTTCCTCCAATAAGATAACAGTGCTTCAGATGTATGCACAAAATTACCTCTTCTCTTGTTGTCCTAACAGCTGTTTCAAAGAAAAATGAAGCTGCCTATATAAGTACCTTCCCTATGATAAACAGGTATGAAGGCAAAGGAAAACTTCATATATTTTTCATAGAAACTACATACAGATATCAGATGCCAGTTCTTTTAATTTATCTGCAAGTACATATTCAGTTATTTTAGTATCATCATCATTCTTGACTTTGACTTACTAGAAAGAAAAATATTGACACTGCCAACATTAATTTTTTTTCATCTACAAGCTACTATTTTCAGGATTATTCTCTTCTAATATCACTGTATTAGCATGCAAGAGACACAAAGGCAGATTCCTAATGCTTTTGTACAGAACCCATCCAATTCTCCAGCAGGAATATATTTATGATGCAGTGAATACCATCGATTTGTGTTGGTATAGCTGTAGCTCTGTATCTTCTGCTAGTGTTGGCGTTTAACAGGTGCTGAGAGCCGAGTAAACTACTCTGTAAACAGCTAACACCATTTAATGACCACACTCAGACCACTGCTTTATCTTTCTTGTGCACATCTCTGAAGACCAGTGAGTGCAGAGCACTGTACATCAGTACAGCTTCCATCAGTTTTATTTAGGCGTGGGTTTGAATGCCCACAACTCTGACCTTCATGGTTATGCACAGGAAATATCAGCCATTGTTTCCAGAAAATACCAGGTTACTATCAAACAAAGTAAGTCTCATCAGTCACTGTGCCCTACAAAAGTCTTTTTCTGCTCACATCTAGTGCAGAAAATAGTCCAGAACTAGTGCAAACACCTGCGACCTCTAGAAAGCTCTCTTTAGTCTCCCTCTTCCCAGCAGAATACCCAACCTCACATTTTCTAATCATTCTGAAGAGGAGTTCATTCATTCTCCAGTGTTCTCTGAATGTGATCTCTGTATTAAAAGTAAATATTCACTTGACTGCAACACACTATTAAAGACAATGCAACAGAAAATCTGCCAATTGATGTTATGATTTAAAGAGAAGTTTCAGTACGTTATATTTGAAAATGGAACATTTTTTCATTCACTGTATTCTGCCATATAGCACTACTTTAACCCATTCCCCTACATTTTCTTTAATTTCTGCTCCTGCCCACATCTGTTGGGAATAAACAGCAAGAAAATTGTTGCTCTACTTCACACATGTGGCTGCACACAGCCATCACTGCACATCCTAGGGTTTGGACTGTGATTTTTGACATTATGCCTGTATGTGTCAGTACTTTTTATTTTATTTATGCATTTGTTTGTTTGTTTGTCTATTTGGTTGCTTTTAGTTTCCATATTTACAAACTAAGGGAAGAGGGGTTTAGAAGCATGTATCTGCTTTCTCTGGAAAAACCTCTTCTACCTCAGATGTGCTTTTCATTCTCTTGCTGTTTAACTCCTTGGAACAAATTCTCAATGACAGAACACACTTTGGATCATCCATAGGACTGTTCCCAGACTTCATTTCCCAAATATCATTTTCATTCTCAGTGCCTTGCATGTTATAGGACTAACTACTCTATATTAGTGTAAAGTTTCTTTTCCCTAGGCATTCCCAGAAATATCAGAGGCAAGCCTCTCTCTTGCCAGTTTTCACTCCTGTGCCTACAGTTACTCTTCCTCACATAAAGTTCATAGGATTTGAGCTGGAGCATAGCATTCAAATTAATACTACAAAGCACATATGGAACATTCAACTATAGCATAACAAATCAAATTAATTACACAGCAGAGAACATTAATTACACTACTATGATTTATTTGTAAATATCTATTTGCCAGTCAATTAATTAATTCCTATTAAAACTAAAATATTTCCTATAGGATTTAATTAATTCCTATATCCTTCATCTTCCAGACTGCAAGAATGCATTAGTGTCCATATTTCTTGTCCACTGAGACTCAGTAATGTTCTATTTCCAGCTTAAAAGTCTATTACAGGACACTTTACCTCAGGCCACACAGAACAATTTCATTATTTCTAGAGAAAACCAGCACACATTTTAAGACTACTTGACAGTCTCACCTGATACAGTCAGGAATGCTCCGGAAGCTTAGCTGTCCTGAAGAAGCGATCAGGCTCTATATGACACATGATCACATCTCAAATTAAAGAATTCTAGCTCTATACTGTACCCACAGTACATTTACAACTCTGGCAAACTTCAGTGGAAGCTGCAAGTGTTTATAATTTCTCACAAAACAGACCATTCCTGTAGCAAGGGAGAAAAATTTAGCACAAGGAATTACTGATGCTATAAGCTTGTGACAGTCATGAAAATTGTGGTACCGTGGGAAAAAAAGTAGTATCTTGCAAGATAAAAAAAGGTGAATATTTAGTAACTTACCCCTTCTGCCTTCTCTTCTGTGTTAGCCAGCATTTCCTGGAGGGCCCGTACTGACAGAGACTGCTCCAGCACAAAGGTGCAGATGGACAAATCAGGTGGAACATTCTAGGTGAAAAAAAAACCATGAGATCACATTAGTAACAGATCTGCTGAATAGCAATTTCCAATGTCTCTATTTTCCCTCACTCTCCATGAATCTGAAAGTTCTGCTATATCTTTGAGGCTATAAAAGCCAGCCACACACTGGGCTGCAACAGTTAAGTCTTAACTCTTAGTCAGCAAACAAAGGGAAGCAGCTCTTCCCCTGGCTCAGTATTTGTAAGCTGACACCTGGAGTATAATGTCCCCTCTCAATAAAAGAAAAAGCCAATGAATTTCACCAAGTTCAGCAGAGACCACCAGAATTGTCAGAGCTGGTGCACTCACCCTGTGTGCTTGCAGGGAGGTGGGCTTGATCAGCCCAGATGGAGGAGAGAGAGATCTTAGAAATCTAGTGGTCTTACAGGGAAAATGGAAGGAGACTCTTCTTGGAGATGCTCCTTGAAAGGAATAGGAGCAGCAATACAGGTTGTACAAAAAAGATTACAGGAGAAAATTAGGAGTAGAAGAACTGCCAAGCAAAGCAGTGAAATGTCTGCTTGGACATTCGCAAATGGAACATGTGTCTCAGGCATTACGCTCAGATTGTAAGGGAAACCAAATTCAGTCTCTAGGCTACTGGTAGTAGCCAGACCTCATTTTTATGAGGAAGGTCAAGATGAATTTTCTTAGCAGAAACATTACACACTGAGCATCAAGGCCAGGCCAGCGGTTTCTCAGCCTTGCAGGGCAGTATGCTTCACAACAGTCTGCTCTAACTGGGATAAAACTGAAGAGTCTTATGAAAATGAATATAAAATTTGTCATGATTGAAAAAAATATAGAGCTATTGAAAAGATAATTTTCCAGACTATCATAAAAATTCGTGTAAAATTGAAAGAGGTTTGTAATAGCATTGCCTAAGTTACAAAGTAGCAAAGTAAAATTAGATTTTATGTGGGGATCTTTTCTTCTTTTAACAGAATATGCAACTCCTACACACCTTTACTTGCCTCCAGAAATTCTTTCATAATTCTTCTCTTTTTCTTTTCAAGTTAGCTGCATATTTTAATTTACAAATACTTTATTGATTATTGGAAATCAGTTTTTTACACTATGAATACTTTTGCTACTAAAAATGTAAAATCGCACATTTACTCAAACTGTGCACAATGTGAAGAGACCTCTTCCAAGGCCAAATTGCAAAAGGTAGTGGAAAACCATTTCATTCCCACTTTTTTTCAAAAGTGAGTTTACTCATACCCTTAAGAGCTTATTTAATTGCTGTTCATCCCTACTAAGTACAGTAATTCAGTAATTTCAAAATAAAAAATTATGTATGAATTTTTGATACATAACAAACCTTTCATTATCTTCCACTACTTATATTTCAATAAAATTAATGCAAAAATGTATTTTAAATCTAAGTTTTACCCAGATGAAAAAGGATTAAACAACATCCTCTTTTCATGAGTTCTGAATGACTTATGCGATGATACTTAGGCATGAAATATTTTTAATCCAACTCTTTCAAAATCAGGCCTCTACTTACCAAACAATGTTTGCGTTTCCATTTTTCTTTTGTAGCTACTCAGACAGTACAACAGTCCTTTCCATGCTAGTACTAGGCTAACAGACAACTAATTAGGTTCTCTTCAAATATCCTTGTAAGGTGAGTACTATTATAAGCCTTTATTTTACAAAGCAGGAGGGAGAGCACTCAAAGACTGCAGGTTGCAAGGTGTTGCTTCTACTCAGTAAATGTGAGGACAATTTTCCATTCTAGAAAGTCTCGCAGAAACAAACTGTCTAACAGTCCCGTGGAGAATGAATGACTGACAAACCAGAGTATGACCAAAACAGGAAAAGATGCTTTGTACACTGTGCTCAGAAATGAATCAAGGCTACATTTTCTGTATCTGGTTATAAGTAAACACCTTTAAGCAAGCAAAGTCTCCATAACAATATTCCCACTGTCAGTGTTTAAGCAGGATTTTTGCTGGCAGAATGTCTCACATATACGATTTGGGACCTATCAATTTTTTACTGCTGAACCTACCCTATAGGTTATACACTTCCAAATACAAAAATCCTGCATCATTTCACAGATTGATCAAGCCAACATAGCAAGGACACCCCTTCATCCATTTCATTCTCCTTAATGTTCAAGACAGCCAGGAGCACTTTCTTCCCTCCCCATTTAAACTGAGGTATGACGTCACAATGAACATTTTTCAGCTATTCTCATAGGGCAGTAAGGCACACTTTTTGCTGCCAGAGGGAAATAAAGGAGAACTGTATGAGACCATTTTGCTTCATTTAAGTGGAAGAGCCAGTTTCTTTTTCATGAGACAAAAAAGAGAGCACATTATCCCACCTCATCTCTGTTGCATGTATGACTTAGACACTTAGTGGCCCTCAGAGAGCACTGCATTCCCCCTAAGAGCTGAAGACAGATGCAGATACTGATGCCTTCAGTAAGCATGTGAATTGGACCTTCCTCCCTGGCAGTTCCTCACCCAGATCTGCTCTACTGAAGATCCTATGGGCAAGGTTGCATCAAACATGCCATGTACAACAGTCAAAGCATAGAAAATGTGGAACAGATGCAGAGCTGCCAATATATTTAGCTCAGTTACAGCCCTGCTCACCCCTATACAAAGCATTTCAATGCCGATGCTTTTAAAGCTCTGGATTTAAAGGATGAGGCTTCAGGCTGGCATACAGATGCAAACTGAAAGTTCATATTTTGAATAGCCTTTTCCATAAAACAATAATTCCAGGTAATTTTTAAACCCTCATTTAAATATACCAAACGTTATTCACAGTGCATTTCCCATCTCTTCAAAGCATAAAAATGAGGAAGGAAAAAGTCTTTGCCACACCTCTGATTATCTACCTTGTTTCTCATATTGTCTCACATAGAGACAGAAGACGGAATACAAAAAATAAAAGTATTCTGTGTTATACTGGCAGCCTAATATTTCCTATCAAAAGGTATCTTCATACAAATTATACAGTAGATTCTAGTACCTAGTCTGAAAAGTGACTGTATATTCTGGGGTCCATAAGGAAAATCTGTAGCAACCAGTTCTCAACATCAGATCTTGAGGACAGGTGAAATGTGTAGGCAGGTTTTTTTGTTATTGCTTTGCTAGACTATGAGCACACTACCAACTAATAAATCATTTTAAAAAAAATATTTTGCTACATGTCTAACAACCACCCACCAGTGCACTTCTAATAAATATCAAAACTACCAGGAAATTTTCAACAGTTTGATGATAACAATACATCTCTGTTTTGAAAACAGAACACAATCTATAACCCCAAAAACTGCTCAATGCTCAAAAGCAGATTACTCAACAGATATAAAAATTGGCAATCTTCAGTTTTCTTTTCCACCAGTTTTCACTGTATTTAGCTTTCTAAATGAAGGCACAGAAAATTAGTTCATATTCCAAAAAGCTTTTTTTCTTTTGTTTTGGGACAGAGTATATAGGGAGGTCCATGGGCAGTACAGGGAATCTGTACTTCAAAAAATCAACAAAAAATTCTGATAAGCAGTGGCAGCATTCAAAACAATTTCTCTTCACTTTATTTTTTACATGTTTGCAAAATCAACTATGTTTTAATGGATTTGAACATAAAATATACACAGTGACTAAACAGTAAAATTTAGTAATTTCAGTATATCTCAGAGTTTAGAGCATTACTGATTTTGGCTGCCAGTTGTTGTTCTTTTACTCAGTCATAATTACTAATATGCAAGTAGTTTGATTTAAAGAAAGTTATTATACAAATAAACTAGAAATTCTATATTAAATTTTAAAAGTAGATTACTTTCTCCTAGGAGAAGAACAATACGTAACTATTAATTTTTTCTATTGTTCCATTGTTTGTAATAGCCCAATCAGCAAAATTAGACAAGTTAAAATAATGTAACAGTCATCTGTGTTTTTAAAGCATATGTATTACTGAATTACTGAATTATTTAGAGAATTGGTGAACTCTTTATTTCTTCCCATTATTTTAAACTATATTTATTGTGTACACTAGTTTTCTGTAGTAATATTTGCATACTAAATTATGCTTTACTCTGTGGGAGGCAGATTCACAAATTAGATAATCATACCCTTTATTAAAAAGGTGTTTTGAGTAAAGCTTTTGAAACACGATTTAAAAATATCCCTAGCTGTACTCCAACCCACAACTGAATCATGGATACTGAATGTATTAATTACACTCTACTTCACTTTTTAGTGAACTACTATTTCCAAGCATACCGCACTGCAATGAAAGCAAGAGACTGAGATGCAAAACTCAGTCCTGCTGTCATTGCTCTGATGGTCACACAGTGCTAAGAAGCCACAGTAATGTATGACCAGCTCATATAATATGTTGCATACAATCTTGTGAACTTAAACTGAACTTCTGCCTCTCATAAATATTAATACAAGACTGAAGAATAATAAATTACAATAGCAAACAGAATTCTGTCTCTAAGAATAAGCAGCTTTACTTCGGCTTTATTTTTCTTCCTAGTCATTTGCAAGCTTCTTAGTTACTTTCCTAGGCTCAGGGGGATGGGTTTATTTCTCTTCTAACCAGATTCCCGATGACATGGACTTGCAGGTATTTAATTTCTAGCTGTACACTAAATATTAATACAGCAATGCTTAAAGAAATCATCTAATTAAGTAGCCTCATTTACAAAGCATCTATCATTTGCATCACTGTCAAAAAATGAGATGGGGGTGTTCATGACTTTTTTTAACACTAGCTCATTTACTAGATGCCTGGCTTTGAGAATCCAAGGAGGACAACTCAGAAAAATAACTTTAGTACAGAATTTAAGCAAAACATCTGTAGTGATATTTGTGGGAGCAGCCTAAAAGAAACTGAACCCATCAGATATTTTCAAGTCACATTTAAATTTACATATCTCCATCTTTCTGGCCGTCCTCTCTACTTAAATGAAATTCTGTCTGGTGACAGTGACAGAACACACTCAATATTACCAAGTA